GGGCTCGCGGAAGTGGTCCTCCGAGGCCGGCCCTCCGGGTGCTGGACTGTGCTGGCCCGGCCCGGCCCGGCGGAGGGCCGGGGACCTGCGTGCTGGGCGCGGGCTCCCCGCACTACTGTTGGTGCGCTTGGCCCCGCGCCTGCGTTTCTGAGGCTGCTCTGTTTACCTCTTGCTTTGTGTCTCTGCTCTGCCCCCCGGCCGCCTGCCCTCTGCCTGGCTTTGTGTCTCTGCCCGGGCTCCTCGCAGCTCCGTCTGGCTCGGATGACTCATCTGGGATAGGCATGAAGGTTACTCAGGGGAACAAGGGCCCTGCTGTTCCCGGAGAGGTGGTGGTGGAGTGGCACCCAGGAATCCCCAGCCGCCCTCCTGGGACTGCGCAGCCTGTCCCCTCGCTCAGGCCGCCGGACCTCTACGGGACAGCCGTGGTGCCTTTCGGTTCCCGCCAGGCCTTTGATAACCGAGGGTCCCCCACAACTCAGTCATCCCCTCAGCTGCTGCTTCCCGGCTCTGGGGGCTCAGCTGCCTCTTGCATTCCTGCCCTAGAGGATTGTGGGAGCAGCTGGAGGAGGACAAAGGGCTGGGGAAGTACCCCGCTGCTCCTACCTCGGGGTGACCTGGCTTCCCTCATCTCCAAGGCAACCCAGCCTTTCCCCTGCCCTGGGCTCTTCTCAGGTGGCACCCACTGCAGGACATGGACACAGGGCAGATGGGAGTCGCAGGGGGTTGCTGGGGACCCAGTCGTGGGCAGAGGTGTCATCCTCTCAGGATCATGGGGCCCGAGGCTTCAGGGCAGGCTCCAGCATAGGGCAGCAGATCACGTTCTCCGTAGCCGGGCAGGGGACCGTAGATGCCTGGTTTGCAAGGAGAGGCCCGCTGGAAGTGTTTCGGATGGGGTACCCGTACACTGCCTGGGCCCCCAGAGGAACATAGTAAGAGTCTTAAACTCCAGCTCCCCTGCAGCTCCTGGCCTGGCAGGCCTGGGTGGGCCTCAGGTTCTGCATTTCTCCCAAGTGCCCAAAAGATTTCGAGGTCGGTGGTCCTGGGACGCCGCCGTGGGCGAGGCGGCTGCAGAGAGGGCTTTGGCATGGGAAGGCGCTGGGGTCCTGCCTGTCTCCTAGAGCCGGGGCTCCGCTGGTGCAGGCTTAGCTGATGTTTAACCTGCTGTCTGCCCAGCCTTTTCTAGGACACCTGTGTTTTTAAAAATAAAAGTAGTTTTTGTATTCTCTTCTATTTTCCTGCATAGCATGTGTTGCCGTATTTACCGGTTTTAGGAGAACAGTGGGCAGAGGGTCTTTCTCCTTCTGTGTGCCTTTCCCCCCCGGCGCCGCTCACTGTAGGTCGTGTTCTGTGGCACACCCCCGTAGACGTGCACAAACGCAGGGGCTCGGGACGCCTCCTTTTCGGGGGGGCGGGGAGGGTGCCTTCTGCTTCCGTCTTGAGGCACAAAGAAGTCACACTGGGCGGGACCTGTGCGGCTGCTGTTTCTTTTTACCCCTGCATCAAGCTGATGACCCTGACCTTCATTTTATGGCCCGTCCCTCTGTGTATTTGCGTGGCTGACAGATCCAGGTGCTCACTGAGTGTGCCACAGTGGACGTGCTTGCACATCCGTCCCCTGCTCTGGCGCTGCGCTGCTCCTTCTGGTCAGAAGTGTGGGCAGCCGGGGTCAGAAGATGTGTACTTTCAGTTGTATCGGATGCTGCTGGGCTGCTTTCACACAGATGCTGATACTCCATCCCTGCCTTGGAGCGCGGGGCTCTGTTTCTGTCACTGCCCCCCTCCTATCGAGGTCCCCACAGGCAAGGTGAGCTGCCTGCAGGCTCAGCTGTTCGGATCGCTAAGGTGGGAGGACCTGTTGAGCCCAAGCATTCAACTTCTGGGCCTGCCTGGGCAACACAGGGGCCTAGCGTCAAAGAATTCTTTCTGTTATTGGATTGGTATTTCCCTGACTCTAGTGAATTTCACTATTTAAAAACAAATGTTTAAGCCAGGTCTGGTGGCACACTCCTGGGATCCTAGCACTGTAGGAGGCTGAGGCAGGAGGATTGCACATTCAAGCTCAGCTTGGGCAGCTTAGCAACTGAGCAAGGTCCTGTTTCAAAATAAAAGAGTAATAAAAGATCTGGGGATGTAGCTCAGTCCGTATGAAGACTGTGAGTTCAACGCCCAGCACCGTATTGCAAAACATAAACAAAAAGAAAGAGAAAACACAAATGTCTGTTGATAGTCAGGCCTTGCTCTTCTGTGAAATGACCCTTCAGTTCTCTACTGGGTTGTTTACGTTGTTTCTCTTGTGAATTTGGAAGAGTCCTTAGTGTATAACTTTTCTGTTAGACTTATTGTCCGCACGTTTGCAGTTGTGTTGTTCGGGGAAGCTGCTGCCTGTGGGGCACTTTGCCCTTCATCGGTCGTGGGAAGGGGCTTTAGGCATGGTGATCGGGCCTCCAGCTCCTGAGTGTGAAAAATGGGCAGTAACAGAATATGCTGTTCAAAGGCTTCGGCCAGTGGCAGGTGTGAGACGCAGAGCTGGTGCTGCGAACAGTGCCCGGTCTTTGGTTTTGCTGCCCAGAACCCCAGGCAGCCCCCCCATCTGCGCTGCCCCTCCTAACCCCTCCTGCCGCTGTGTCCCCTGCAGAGATGCTGCCCCCACCCCCGTAGCCCGAGGCATCGGAGCGATGGGGCCCGAGGCCCGCTCGTCTCTCCTGCTGCTGTTGCTGCTCTCGGTGGCAGATGGAGACTCTGACATGAAGGGGCATTTTGACCCTGGTGAGGAGACTCAGTCCTGGGTCCCCAAGGGAGGGCTTGGGAGACAGAGCGTCAGGGCCTTGACCTGTCACCGCCTCTGTCCGTCCAGCCAAGTGCCGCTACGCGCTGGGCATGCAGGACCGCACTATTCCGGATAGCGACATCTCCGTCTCCAGCTCCTGGTCGGACTCCACGGCCGCCCGCCACAGCAGGTACACTCGGGCCTCCACGTGCCCTCTCAGCCCTCTGCCCACGCCGAGCGGCTTCTGAGGGGGTCCATGCCTGTGAAGCCCTGCAGTGTCGGTGGGGCCAGAGACAGTGCGGACCACTGCCACCGGCCGCCCTGTGACCGCTCTCTCCCTCCCAGGCTGGAGAGCAGCGACGGGGACGGGGCGTGGTGCCCCGCGGGGCCCGTGTTCCCCAAGGAGGAGGAGTACCTGCAGGTGGACCTCCGGCGCCTGCACCTGGTGGCTCTGGTGGGCACGCAGGGACGCCACGCTGGCGGCCTGGGCAAGGAGTTCTCCCGCAGCTACCGGCTGCGTTACTCCCGGGACGGCCACCGCTGGATGGACTGGAAGGACCGCTGGGGTCAGGAGGTGAGGCTGCTGGGGGTGGCTTCCAGGAGCCTGGCGCTTCTCTCCCCAGCACACTAAACAGATGCCGCTGGCTCCCCACGCCTCCTGGGCCACGCCACCTCAGTGGTTCCTTCTCACCACCGACTTCCCGGGGGAACTTGGTTCCCGCCCCCAGCCCCCGCTGTGCTGCTTGCTTCTGCGTTTTTCTGCCTGCACTCAGAGCTGCAGCTCTGGCCTACATACAGTGGGCCTTCCGGCGGGAATCAGACCTGTCACGCCCGCTCCCAGCCCTCCCCTGCCACGAGGCTCCGCCAGCGCCTCGCAGGCAGAATGCTGGCCGGGGCTGCCCTGGCTGCGTCTCCTGCTTCTTGCTCCATCTTGGCCACGCAGCTTTTTTTGCTTTTCCTGGAACAAGCCGGGGCTCATCCCCCAAGGCCAGGGAATTTTCGCTGGCTGCTGGCTGTGTCCGGCAAGCTCCTCCCCCAGCCCCCCGTGGGCTCTTCCCTGACCCACGCAGGCCTCCCAGGTGTCAGCTCAGAGCCTTCTGGCCACCCTGTAAACGGCCCCGTATCTCTCGCAGCAGCTTTTCCTCATGCAGTCCCAGTGCTCGGAGGGAGGGGTTTGTGCCCACGAGAACGTGCCTGGCACAGAGCGGGCACTCGGCCAGCTTCTGCTGAATGCACAGAAGGAGTGGGGTGAAGCAGGCAGGAGCTGAAGTGGGGCGCAGGGGTGCAGGGGCAGGCAGGATCTGGGTGCGGTGGCGTGACTGCTCGGACACAAAGGGATGGGCCTGCAGAGGCGAGCGGGAGGCGGACTGGGGGAGACTGCCCGGCCATGAGAGGAGCCGGGGTCTCTGCCGCGGACCTTGTTGCACAGACACGGGCTGCACCCCAAGTGCTGTTCTCGGCATTGCCCTCCGTCAGCTTCGGTGGCCACTGCTGCTGGGAGGTTGGGTCCAACTGCGGCCCTTCCCTCACCCGCCCCTTTCTTGGCCTCCAGGTGATCTCTGGCAATGATGACCCCGGGGGCGTGGTGCTGAAGGACCTTGGGCCCCCCATGGTAGCCCGCCTGGTTCGCTTCTACCCCCGCGCGGACCGGATCATGAGCGTGTGTCTCCGGGTGGAGCTCTACGGCTGCCTCTGGAGGGGTGAGTTGGCTGCTGCGAGACCCGCTCTGGGCTGGGTGGTGAGAATGTGAGGAGACCCCCCTCTCCCACCGCTGTCTGCCAGCAGACCCCCGGCCTGATGGGGGGGCAGAGGCTCGGAGTCCTGACCTCCTCCCCGTCCTGCTGCAGATGGGCTGTTGTCCTACACAGCCCCCGTGGGGCAGACCATGTACTTACCTGAGGCCGTTCACCTCAACGACTCCACCTACGATGGATTCACCGTGGGCGGGTGAGACGAAGGGCCCGCAGGACGAGAAGCCGGGACAGGAGGGAGGCCAAGCTGCATGGGTGTCGGGTGGAAGCACTGGGGCCTGGGGTCAGTTAGGCAGGGCCTCAAGGGATAGGACAGGGAGCAGAGGGTAGCAGGGTGACCACTAGGCCGCAGGACACCTAGTGTGAGTTGGAAGAATGTCTGTTGGGAATTGCACAATAAACACACGCAGCAGAGATGAGAAGCGCTGCCTTTCTGCAGGCTGTGACCTGCCCAGGACCTGTGCCGTCCAAGGGGTGCTGCCGGCCGGGAAGAGGGGGCTGACGAGGGAGGGTGGCCGGGAGGGAGGCGGGCAGAGGGGAGCCACTGTGGGGAGCGTGCAAGGCAGCTGGATGTCACTCCCTTCCTCCCGTGTCCGGCCCTCCCGGTCCCCTCAGCCTGCAGTACGGCGGCCTGGGCCAGCTGGCGGATGGCGTGGTGGGGCTGGACGACTTCAGGCAGAGCCAGGAGCTGCGGGTCTGGCCGGGATACGACTATGTGGGCTGGAGCAACCACAGCTTCCCCGCGGGCTTCGTGGAGATGGAGTTCGAGTTCGACCAGCTGAGGGCCTTCAAGGCCATGCAGGTGGGCGAGCCCACGCGCGGGTGAGGGGGGCGGGCCGCCCCCGGGGCTTCTTGTCACTGACTCTGTCCCTTCTCCGTCCCCCAGGTGCACTGCAACAACATGCACACGCTGGGGGCCCGCCTGCCCGGGGGCGTGGAGTGCCGGTTCAAGCGGGGCCCTGCCGCGGCCTGGGAGGGGGAGCCGGTGCGCCATGCTCTGGGGGGCAGCCTGGGGGACCCCCGAGCCCGGGCTGTCTCTGTGCCCCTGGGCGGCCGTGTGGGTCGGTTTCTGCAGTGCCGCTTCCTCTTCGCCGGGCGCTGGCTCCTCTTCAGCGAAGTGTCCTTCATCTCTGGTGAGCCCGGGGTGCAGCAGGCCCCGCCCTGGACTGTGGGCTTCACCGGCGGCCCTGGGGTGACCCTAGCACGCCCTTCCCAGTGTCACAGTGTCCGCGAGACCCCTTGGCCAGCGGACGGGGGAAGCCCCTTCCTCTCCCCATTTTCTGCGGTCTGTCTTTTCTTTACAAGCCGGTCACTCCCGACTGACCCTGGCTGTGGGACAGTGCTGGTCATGGAGTCGCTGAGCAGTTGAGAACCAGCCATTCCATCTAGCATCGCTCCAGGGGAGCGCTCCAGTGCCCCAGTTGAGCGCCTGCTTCTTGCGGGGCTGACCCCCTCCCAGCCGGGATTTCCGGCCCACGTGTTGCGGCCCCCACCCCTGCGCAGGCCCCATGGCCCCCTCCTCCTCCTGACTCTTCTTCCCCTCCCCCCAGATGTGGTGAATGAGTCCTCGCCAGCGCAGGGGGGCACCTTCCCGCCAGCCCCCTGGGGGCCGCCCGGCCCATCGCCCACCAACTTCAGCAGCTTGGGTGAGCAGCACAGTGTCCCCCAGGGCTCCCCCTCCGTGGTGGGGCCCTTGCCTCGGTGCTGACCCTCTGCCTCTGTCAGAGCTGGAGCCGCGGGGCCAGCAACCCGTGGCCAAGGCGGAGGGGAGCCCGACCGCCATCCTCATCGGCTGCCTGGTGGCCATCATCCTGCTGCTGCTGCTGATCATCGCGCTCATGCTCTGGCGGCTGCACTGGCGCAGGCTCCTCAGCAAGGTGGGCGGGGCTGTGAGGGCGGCAGGGCCCAGACCCCTGCCCCAGGCCGGGCGGGATGGCCAGTTAGAGGGAGCCCACAGGGACAGGCCAGTTGCACCCCTTGCTCGTGGTGAGGGGGGCTGGCTACCAGACCCAGGGGGCCTGCCCTGGAGAGGGCAGGCTGAGAGGGCTATGAGCGTGGGTGCCGGGCGCAGCCTGTGAGAGTCCAGCCCTGGGGAGGGGTGAGGACAATGCAAAGGATGGTTGAAAATGCAGCGAATGTTGAAATTTTAAAAATGTGTTACAGTAAAAGGCACAGTGCCATCAACCGCCCCCAGAATACTTCCCCGCTTGCTTCAAACACACTTACCCTGCTTTTCTTGCTACTGTCTTTTTTTTCTTTGGATACTGGGTCTCACTGTGTGACTCTGGCAGGCCTTGAACTCACTTTATAGCCCAGGCTGGCCTTGAACGCGCAGCGATCCTCCTGCCTCAGCTTCCCGACTGCTGGGGTTATAGGTGTGCACCATCGCACCCAGCCACTTGCTGCTTTGTAAAGCAGCTCTGGAAGTTCTCTTTCGGAGTGTCTTTCTGGAGTAAGGGTTCGGTCCCCGGTGCTGCCGAGCGCCATCTAGTGGAGAGGCAGGCTCATAAAAACAGTGCCGGGTCCTCAGCCACCCCATTCACCAGACCTGGTGCCTCATGACTTCTGGCTCTTCCCCAAAGTCAAAATGACCATGAAGAGAAACTGCTTTGATCTGATTCAGGACATTGAGGAGCCACAGCAATGCAACTAAACACACGCAGAAAAAAAGACACTGAACACACTCAGAAAGAGGATTTCACAGCTGCCTTGGACATCGACGGGTGCTGGGAGGGGTGTTGGACGTGAGGGGAGGACTTCGAGGGGAGCCCGTGGCAGTGCGTCTTTTGCTGCAGTGCATTTTTTAAAGCACATCCTGTGTTTTTTTTT